TTCTTTCAGGAAAACGGTAGTCATATATGGGACACCGATGAGGCAAAAGAATATCTTGACAGGCAAGCACAAACTTTAGAATTTAAAATGCACTTTTACTGATACAAAACTCACATCCATGCCTATGTTCCAGTTTCGGAGTGAATGCCACCGAAGAAGATGGAGACAACCCATTCTTGCATGGACTTCACTGGAAACATTGTGATGCTAGGTTTGTGATGTCTCTTCTTTGGATGTTTGTCTCATATGCTGTGCCTCTTTTGACTGATTGGTTTTACATTTTACCAGTCAAGAATTCAGTCAGCTCTCTGATGTTATAAACAAAATAAAGAACAATCCTCATGATCAAAGGATCATGCTTGCCGCTTGTAATCCATTAGATTTCAAGTTGTCGGTATCTCCTTGTCATACGTTCACACAGGTTAGCACGTTTTTCATCTTGAAACTTGTTACATTTCCATTGTAAAATCATTTCAACGTTTCAAGATATACAAAACTGAAAATGATTTGGTTTTTGGTTGTTGTTGCCAGTTCTATGTGGCAAATGGTGAAGTTTCTTGTCAAATATACCAAAGCTCAACCGAAGCGAGTATCGGGATTCCTTTCAGTATTGCTACATACTCTCTTTTGACATGCATCATCGCTCATGTTTGCGGTATGTACACATTTTATTAGCTCTTGAGTCTAAAGTAAAAGAGTTGAAACCTTTGTATGGTTTCTTGTCTTGACAGATCTTGGAGCTGGTGATTTCATCCATGTGATTGGACAAGCCTATATTAACAAAGCTCACGTCAAGGCTATACAAAAACAGCTTCAAATCTCCCCTAAACCCTTCCCGGTAAGTACTAAATATATTTTGCTCTCTCTCAAATCAGGAAACAATATAACTTGTGTGTCTCTAATGTATTAACGGTAAAAACAGATTTTGAAAATCAACCCTGAGAAAAAGAAGATGGACAACTTTGAGGCCTCTGATTTGGAACTCATGAGGATATAACTTGCTTCACAAAGACTCTTCTTATATACTCATTGTAGATTTCTTCTTCTTCATTACATTTATAAGATAAACAAATTTACAGAAAACTTATACTTCATAATATATAAGATTAACAAAATTATACAAAGAAACCATAAAAAGAAAAGCTAAAACAACAATTTATGCTCGGGCATTGAAATATTTTTACCCATATATATACAAACACTCACAAATATATGTGAATGGTATTGCATAAACTAAAGTTTTTCTTTTTTTCTTCTTTGCTTTTTAGTATTTATACATTTTAGATAATACAGAACTCTTCATCCTTTTGGTTCCTCCTCTGTCTAGCAATGAAAGACTCGATTTTGTATCGTAGCTCATCATCAGAAACAATTCTATCAGCAGGTCTCTCTGTCTCTGATCTCTTCAGTTGTACACAAGAACTCTTCTTCGAGCCCTCGTGATTCTCTGACCGGCTCCTTTCGTAACTCTTCATTGGGCTATCTTGATTTTGAGCAACGATTTGTCTTTGTTTCTTCACAGTTATGTCCTTCTTCTCACTCTCATCGCCACTGCTCTGTCTGCCACTGATCTCAGACTTTTTAAGTTTCTCTCTCTTTTCTTCAGTGCTCTGTTTTGCCCTGTTCTCTGACATGCTCGGTTTTGCTCTGCTTTGTCTCTTATCTTCAATGCTCTGTTTTGCTCTGTTTTCTTCAATGCTTTGTTTTGCAACGCTCTCGACTTCACTCTGTTTTTCTCTGCATATCACATCGGTGTGTAACCTCCGTTCTCCTCTTGAGCTCTCCCGAACAAACTCGTCGTAAAAATCGTTTCTGTTTCTCCGTGCATCAGTTTCTTGATTCGCAAAGAACCCACACTTGACGACTATGGTGATGACTATCGTATTCCCCAAGACGAAAGCAAGGTGACGGTTGATGAGAAAACTTGCGAGACCAGAGCTCTCTACCGTGATGACTAGTTGGTAACAGAGCTTGGCTAGAGTAATTATAACTAGAGTTATCTCGATCACCCGGTAAAACAAATCTAAGAGTACTTGAGCCCGAGACTTCTTCACAACAACCTTCATCTTTCTTGGTTTAGCCTTCTGAGTACTAAGCGAATCCATTGGCGTTGAAGGGAAAAAGATTAACTTAAAACAGTAGGATCTGAAGGAGAGAAGCTTTGTAACTTCAAGCTTAAATCTTCTTTGAAGATCAAACAAAGATGTTGTAGAGAAAAAGGAGAATTTGATTTTAAGTTTGTGGAGCAAAAAAAAACAGAGAAGAGTGTGTGTCTGTTTTTCTCTCTCTCTTTGTTTGTGTGTTTTTTGTTAGCTTGAAAGAATGTAACTTTGCAATGAGAGTATTTATAAAGAGTCACTGAGTGCTTTGCTTTCTTTTTCCACGAACCATTTCTTTTTTCAATTGGATTACAGTTATTATGTTCTTATTTGACAAAAACAGAAAAATTAATTCATCTTTCACCCTTAAATTATGAATCTACTTGAACTGAAAATCTAATAAAAATCATAGTTTTGTGTCCTTATATTTTCATTTGACTCCATAGACTCCATTGTCTTGTTGTATTTTTAAGATTGTATTTACGTTTATATGTAAGATATATGATTTGTATCATCAAAGCAAAATCATAATAGTTTAGTAATATAAAGCTTATATTTTAACAAGCAAAAATCATTACCATAACTCTTGTTGTCTTGTAAATAACAACGTTGAAACAATCGAACCAGATGCTGTAATGGTTAGTGATTTACTTTTCAGAAGTTTGACAAGTAAACTTTAAAATATTTATTTTTTAAAAAATTAACACAAATATTTTAATTGCAAAATAAAGAAGATTAGTTGGAGAAATATCTAGTTTAGAGAAGATTAGCTCTTTCACTAATAAACAGTAAGAAGAAGAAAAATGAGATGATGAGAAGCTAATGATTTGGAACCGATTGTTTTGGCAAAATAAATGTGTAGTTAATTTTATTTTATTTGGTCAAACTAAAAATGTACTATGATTAATTTATTATATAATTTTAATAGGTAATTCAAAATTGTGGTTCACTCTGTTATAGTATGCCAATTAAACAAGTAACATATTCACTTTTTCTTATAAATACTATTTGATCATGGAAAGTGTGCAGTTCCTAAAGAATATGTTAGTTAAAAAGCCATGCTTCACTTGTTATAATTATAATACTCCAATTTATGGTTGCGTTATTTACATTTCCTTGCAGTGAAAATGAATTTTAAGCAAAGGGCATTAGATATTACCTCTACAAGTAGAAGTAGACTAGTAGTCATATTAGAAGCAACAAGATGTAATAGTTTTAACTATGGAAACAAAAGAAATATACTCACTTACAATGATTTGTAATTTTGTTGTGTTATTATATGCATGCAAAATGCAACCATTGTTGACAAGTAGAAGTGACTAAAAACTTTCTACATAGATAGATGCAAATTGCGATAGATACTTGCGTATATGCGTGGGATATTTCTCATTAAGTTATGATTAAATTAGTAATCACATCTGTTGTTTCATTGGTAAAATAGATCATGCACTACAGCACTAGCTATCTCATCCATTTGTAATTATTTACTCGAGTCATAAAGCAGCCCACCATTAGTTTTATATGTCCATCATTTAAAGTTTCATTGATTTCGATCACAACAAATTAATCTCTTAAAGTAATGCGTATCACCATATTTAAATGAATTTTGTTGCAAAAAGGTTTTAGGACTTGAATGATTGGTACAAAGTATGTCTATGGTGCCAAATAAAAATACTTTAGGATATAAAATATATACTATTCTAGTCGCATATTAAGAAACTTATAAAATCTATATCATTTTTCTTATTTCCACACAAAACATGCTACTTCTCCAATTCATAATTAAAAATATAGAAGAAACCATTACTTCTTCACTAAGAGATTGAGAAATGGCTTCTACTTCCACAACTTCTCTTTGTTAATGTGTTTCTCACTTTATTTATGTCTTGTCTCTTTCTAACCAAAAGTATGTATATGTGGTTTCATTTCAATTCAAATTTTGTTATTGGATACACTTTGAACAAAAATTAAAGCCCCACTTCTTTTTTTCATAAAGACATCTTCATAATTGCTCATAAGTGTAACGTGTCATTCGGTGCTTCAATCAACACGATGCAAATAATGAAGTGTATATGTCTAGTCTACGTGTTCTTATACATAAATCACACTTATCCATAAATGGTTTACGTTTTATTTCATATTATCAACCGATTTAGATGCTAATTAATTTGAGTTGTCCACAAAATATTTTTGGACCTGAAATTTACAATCTGAGTTGTACTACAGATACCGTTTTTGTGTTATTTGATTCATAATTTAAATTATTATGGAGACCTGATTGGACCTCAAGAGGCACAAGAGAATACTTTCTTTTACATAAAATGTATATGTGGGCCTTTAAAATCTATGGACTGTTTTCTTTTATTTATAATATGAACTTAGATTTATAGATTATGGAGCTTACTGCACACAAACTCACACATGAATTTAGTTGATGAAATTATTGTTATAATGTTATTCTAAGAAGAAGAAAATGTGACTCCTTTTCTGGTGGCAAATCTATAAAGAACCAGAATCTGATCGAGTTTCATAATTAATATCGCATTCGTATATCGCAATACATAATTTAATTCTCAAGTTGATCATAGAGGTTTTTTATAACATTTGTTTCCGCCATCGCATGTGAGTCAGTGAGTGCATGCTGATTCAGTTTCACTAAGCTGATCTACACTGTGTAAATGTGTATAATTGCCTATACTATACCTAAAATCTTTAATAAAAAATAATTATAATCCAAAAACGACAAACAGTTTCAATAAAAGAAAGAAATAATTTTCTGACACGTTGCGTTTTACTTCATTTATCCAGAAAGCAATTGTGTCCATGCTAAGGGAAAGTTACTGCACAATAAATAAATAAAAACAATTTTTAAATAACATTTTTGTGTCACGTGACAAAAAATCCGACCTGCCGGAATCGAACCAGCGACCTAAAGATCACAGCAACTACTACAGTCTTCCGCTCTACCAACTGAGCTAAGGTCGGTATGTTCATTACGCATAATTGTATTCAACCGTTATTTAGACTTATAATGCTAGGAGATCTATTTAACGCTAGACGTAAAGCTCATGGGACTATAGGGAGGTTTCATCCATATACAAGAAGATTCACATAAAAGTTTTACATACAGAATGCATTCAAAAGTCATTTTTTTTTAAAATTAGGTCAATAGTTTTCTAGAAAAAATCGAATGAATTCATTACCAAAATATGAGTGTATATGAATTCACTTAAATTGTATCACAAAATTAAATGATATTATTTTAAATTACATATTTATATTTTAAAAACAAATATTTATTATTTAGTATCAATTATATTAACTGATATAAGGATCTGTTTTACTCAAGTGGTTAAGTCCATTTGACTTCACCTTCCCCACTGAAGTTCGACTCTGCTAAATTGCGTTATCACGCATAATAGAGATTAATTATGGATTGGACTTTGTCGATTAAAAAATATCAAAAAAAATATATTAACAGATGTTTACAGTAAACTAAATAAAATGATTCCATTTCTATTAGTTTGTATCAATTTTAAAAAAAATTAAAAGAAAATAGAAATTTACATCATTTAGATAACTGATGTATCTATTAATTTTTGTTAAGATCACTTTTTAAAATAATTCAAAATTTTACATCAATAAAAACTTTTTTTTTTTTTTTTTGGTGAATAATAAAAACTGATGTTAATATATACATTTATGGGTTATTTTCTTAAATAGAGGTAACCTAAAAAAAAATTGAGATCATCATCATCACGCCTCTTAAGTTTTAACCAGACGTAGTTAGGTATATCTATTTTTTTTCTTTGGGGTTTCGACGCAAATTGATTTGTCCCTCATCAGGTAAGTTTTGTGATGAATCATTGATTCTACGATTAGCTTCAGCCATCTATTCATCTCCTTTATCCTAGTTTTGTTTCTCTGTAATGTATAACACAATTTTAATTTGTGTTAAACATGTATCTGCACTTATAACAAAGTATATATCCACCTTGATAGTTAAAACTCTGATACTACATATATGTTGGTACATCAATTTTGTTTTAGTCTAGTCTGTGTCTGGTTCTTAATGAGTATTGGTTCTCATGTTACATAGATTTATTACTAGATTCTAAATGGTTTTGAAATTTAGTGTATGTTTTGTGAATTTCTAAAGTTTATAGAGTGTACAAATCATTTTTCAGGTTTTGATGGATAAGTCATGGATAAACAAACCACATTTATCTCAAGATTATATATTAGGGGTGAAACATTTTTTAGATTATGCATTTGATAAATTCAAAGTAGACGTGATGAAATGTCCATGTAATTGTTCTCTCGTCGAATATAAGTCAAGAGAAGATATCGAAGGTGATTTGATGTGCTTTGGCTTTTTAAGTTCTTACACAAATTGGATATTACACGAAGAAGATGTATGTCTCAGTTCTCACACGAAATGCAAGAGTACCTCCTGATATTGCTCCCTAGTGCTGCTCTCAATCTCTGGTCAGTTTTCTCATGTTTAACAATACCACAATGTAATTATTCATGGAATAAACTAAATTTTTGGAAAAATGCAGAAGTGGAGGCTATGGAATGCATGAAGTCGACCAAAATATTTCCGGGGAAATGTAATGAAACGTTCCACTGCGATCATGAATGCAGTAACTTTTGGTTTTCAATTAAGATTGTATTGTGATAATGAATGAGAATACATTTGTTCTCTTTTTGTTCTTTTGTGTTTGATTACAAAGTAATAATAATATGGTTACGAGTTTTTTCTAGAAATACTTTAGAAACTTATCACTTTGGAAATTTTATTAGTTAAAATGTTTAGATATTATGCTAGGAAAAATCTCTGTATTTGCAACAATAATATCTAGATATTATAGTATGATAGAGCTTAAGGATAAAGAACCTATCTCGATACTTTTAGTTTGGGAGCTACATAAATATCTTCAACTACTCATTTGCAATTAGATAGAAAAAAGTAGAAAACATAGAAAACGTGAATCAACAAAGCAGATTAATAATAAAAGAGTATTTTCTATTCGTAAGTTCTCTCAATTGTGTCCTAAAGTTTTCCGACGTTTCTCACATTTTCTTCATAAACCATAATTTAATTGGGCTTAATAAATATATTGGGTTTATAAACATTAATGGGCTTGTTGAACAAAGAAGAAAACATTAATGGGCTTTCTCTGAGAAATGAAGCCTCTTAACGCTGAGAGACTCAGAAACCCTAATATATAAATAACAAAACCAAAACTTCCTCACTGTCGTCTGCTCTTAAGCCTCTCGTCTTTGCCTTTCGTCTCTTCTCTGCTCGCCGATCGTTACTCCGTCTCCGTCGAAATCACCATGGTTACTCTCTCTCACTCTCGATCTGTCTATCTGTATCGCTTTGTTGCTCTTAAAGAGAGAATCTAATTTCGAAATGTTGTGTGTTTTCAGGCGCCAAAGAAGGATAAGGTTCCACCACCGTCATCAAAGCCGGCCAAATCTGGAGGTGGAAAACAGAAGAAGAAGGTCCGTTTTCCTCTATTATCCATTTTAAACTACTTGTATAGCTACTTTTAATGTCGATTTAGAAGCAACGTGACGCTCCAATTCCTACGTTTATGTCTAGAGTTTTGAGAAATTGAATTAGGTTTCGTAGATTGATCTAGGTTTAGTATGAATTGGCTGAAAATCTAGGTTTCTGTTTGCACTGATTTCATACAAATCTAGAAACTTGAGTCTCTGTGATTCATTTCTCGTAAGCTTTGGTTATGTATATACATTTTTTGTCTTGCTTTGTGTGTTATGTTGTATTCTTCATGTGTTTGGTGCTTAATTGTTTTCTTTTTTCAATGAAATGTTTGTTAAACAAAACAGAAGTGGAGCAAGGGAAAGCAAAAGGAGAAGGTGAACAACATGGTGCTGTTTGATCAAGGCACTTATGACAAGCTTCTCACTGAAGCTCCCAAGTTCAAGCTCATCACTCCATCAATCCTCTCCGACCGTATGAGGGTATACAATCTTTTTTATCTCTGTTGCATTTTTTAAACACTGTATGGTTGGTGTTACTTCCTCATGATTCAAATGTTAGTATCTGACTTTGTTATGGTGTGAATTGTTAAAAATCAGATTAATGGGTCTCTTGCGAGGAGGGCGATTAGGGAGCTAATGGCGAAAGGTTTGATCAGGATGGTCTCTGCACACTCGAGCCAGCAGATCTACACTCGTGCCACCAACACCTAAAAAGCGTGACCTTTCAATGGTTTGGTTCTCGACTCTTTTCTTGGTTTTTGTCTTTTGATGTATACATTAATCATCAGAACTCTTATAGTTCTTTTTTGGTTCTCGTTACTTTGTGCTCCAGAACCTCTTTAGAATGTTGTTTTGAGATATTGTCTCTTTAATCGGAGTTGCTTTTTCCCTCTCAACAGTCATATGAATTTCAGAGTTTAACCGGAATCAGTATTAATTCGTATCATAGTTGAAAAAGTGTCTGTAAACAAAAAAAGTGTGCCGTTCGATGTAGAAGCGCTAATTTACTATCATCACCATATCGTGTAGTTCTTTGTATCATCATCCTTATCAATTTATCATTAACATATCATCATTGATTCGTTTAGGATTTAAATCCATTTTTATCTTTGAGGCCAACATACCCAATCCTTCAAATTATTAAACTACTCGGATATGTTTAGATCAATGAGGTGGTCCATCAACTTTCGTGTGAGAAATTCGAGTTAAAAGCTGGAGAAAACCACCAAAATGAGTTCTATGACAATTGTGCGGCTGTAAAACTAGTTCAACAACAACAGAAAACAATACCATTAATAATATTAAGCATCAATCAAGCTTCACTACTTTTGAGTCATACAAATGGTTACAAAAAACGTCACTTTCACACACTTGACATTGCACATGATAGGTGTTTTAGATATTTGTTCTTGTACCCTTCTAGGCAACCCTGACCCTGACCGTAGAAAATTTTCAAATGAAAGCATTTGGTTTATTCTTATTGTTTTAAACACAAGAGAACGTGTGTTAGATGAATATGGGCTGAGGGGTTAAACGTGTCCGTGTAGCAGTAGAGAAAGAGTATGGGAGAAACCAGAGCCGTCCGTTTTGTGTAACAGTCACATGACTCACATAGTCACATGACTCACATAGTCACATCACTATGATCTTCTCAATATTTTTTCTCTTAAAATAAAAAAAAATATTCAAATTTATTCATCAACAAAAAAGTATACTTTCTCGTGGGGCGATCACAGGACAAAACCAGAAAAAGTAACAGCTTCCTCCGTCAACTACGCACTTCACTGATTCAGTCTTCGATTTCAAACGATCAACAAACATTTTTATCATAATCATAATCAGAAAAAAGTGTTAAACTTTCTGGTGAGTTTATATACTCTGCTAACAATGCTGTTTATAATGGTTTTTGGTTGTTTCTTAAGTTTCTGTTTAAATTTCGGATTCAAATCCGTAGATCTTCTTCTTCTTCTATCTGGATCGTTGTTGTTAGCTTCTCAACATGTAAAAAGTTTCTATCTTTTGAGGTTTTTTCATTCCCATTATCGATTTTGCTTCTCTGGGTTTAGTTTTTAACCAATGTGCACTAGAAAAAAAGTTAATCTTTAGGATATGTTCTTTTAGTTTCATGATGAAAAATTGAAGCTTCATAGTATAATGATCCTTAAAGCCTGGTACTCATAAAACCATTAATGTTCAAATTCAAGCTTCATAGTAATTTTGAGCTTTAGAGTATTTTGAAACTTCAAAGAGTTTTGTGTTTTGAGAATTTCAGGGATCTGTGTTTGTGAACCATCTGGGTTTGTGGAAAGTTCGTAGCTTTCGAGGATTTATCTATTGGGTACTCTCAAGAAATGTCTTTTAGATTTTTTTTCAGAATTTTTCTGGTCGGTTTCACTTTAACACTTTGCTTAGATTTGAACAATGGGTTTGGATTATTCTATTACTAAATTTGATTATATTATTAAGTAAAT